TAAACGTACGCCTCTTACAAAACCGTTCACAGTTCTTAGTAAAATTTCTCGTGGGATGGCTGCGTAAGCTGCATGAATTCTTTCCATGAGATTTTTTCGTGTCGTTAGCCGTTGAGCAAATACATTATTTATGTACCCCCCACAAAAAGAATTCAGGTGATCTGAGATCTAGTGAGAGAGAGCCATTCAATTGGACCACCCCTTTCAATCCACTTCCATTATAATAGTTATTCGGAAATTCACGTTCGATCAGTGCAAAATCGATCCAAATGAATTCGTGATTGTTTTCAAGTTTATTTAAGTTTTCAAAATAAGTAGCACAAGCTTTTTTATAAGTGATATTTGGTATTGTGAAATCATGTTCATTATCTGAATCAGATATCGAATCACACTCGGAGCTTGAATTGTCTGCAGTCGGAGTAACTATCCGAATAATCTGATTCATACTCTGCATGCGATGAAGCAGAAGATTTTGAATGTTTTCGTGACATAACAAGTGTATTGAAAAAAGGGAAAACCAACATTTTTATTATATGCTTTACTTATAATACTTGTACAAATTGTATAAACCATCTGTGCCTATGCATAATTGAAAGGATGTTCGAGTTTGTTCGTGAATTTTGTAGTGGTAAATAGAAACAAAATTTTATGTACAATTCAAGAAAAAAATTTTTCTCTAAACCTATACGCAAAAATTTTTAAGAACAAAAAAGTCGCAAAATTAGTTAAGGAACACTCAAATTCTTTCAAACATTTTTTAGTTATTTTTGAAAAATTTGATTTATTGAAATTTATAAAACTCAAAAATTGTCTTAAAAATTATGAAAAAATTTGAGTATTCTTTGACTAATTTCAAGACATTTTTGTTCTTAGAAATGTTCTTTTTAAAGTCTAGAGTTTTTAAGAAAACGATAGGTTAAGATTTTTATAAAATTTTTTCATTCTCGTCGTCATTTTGAAAAAAATGCGTTTTTCTTAAAAAAATTGCTCTTAATGTTCGAGTGCCATGATCACCTGTGATTATCGTAAAAATTTGATACCTTTGCGGTATCATTGTGAAAAAAATTCGAAAAAAAATTGTTTTTAAAAAATTTTCACGTTTTTCACGTTTCAATTGACCATATTTTGTTTTCTCGGTGTCTAATCGAAATTTTGAGCTCAGCTTCTAAAAGAGCATCAAATTTCGCGTAAGAATAGAGGTTTGCATTATTTTTTTGATACGATAACATAATAAATAAACACGTTGAAAAGTTAGTAAAAATTCTGTTCACCTGGACGTTAATGGGTTAAGTTAATAAATTATTAGTTTCGAAAAAAGTTATAAAATATGCATGATTATTATCCACCCACTGAAATTGTTGATATGATGTTAGTTTTTGGCGAATATCACGTCAATTACGCCGCTGCATCGAGACTTTCTGCTGAACGGCTTACAGGCAGAAGACATCCTACTGATTTCACAATAAGAAATCTAATTAACAAAACTAAAACGGTTGCAATAGACATTTTGGTCATAAATAGAACTAAAATAATCCACGAGCTTTAACAATTCTAGCAGCTGTTCACATGGATCCACAAAAGTGTAACTAAAAGGTCAATATGGTCAAGATCGCTTACAGTTTTGCAGGTTATAGACTTTTTAAAGTTCACTTTGAACATTTTTTCTACCATAAAACTATGATAATTGAAGGATTAGTGACCGAATCGTTATTCAGACATTTGATCTTCATTTTTTGAACCTTTCAAGGTTACAACAGCTTATTCTGCTGTGGGTCACTGTGTATATAAGAAGTAGATCTAGTTTAAGAATAAACAATCTGTGTAGAAAGGGTATCATTCTTTTTTATATAAGATTTATATTTTCAAAAATAAAAAACAAAATGTATATAACTGATTCTCTGACAAATCGCATGACCAAAAAATTTTTTTTCCCAAACTTTGGGAAATTGTTCTTCTTTATGTCCCCGACACTGGTGAATTTTTTCAGATTTTTTAAAGCACCCCTCTATGAGATATAAAATGTCAAAGTCGACAATTTTAGGGTTTTTTCAAACATTGACAATTTTTCAATGGCTTCCATCTCAGTAGGGATGCATTTTTCATTATTGCACTATATAAGCTTTTTTCTCAAATTTCCTCAGCTTTCTGAAAAAAATATCAATTTGAGTCTAGGAGTTAGTTTTAAAAATAATATTTCCAAATTAAATCTTATTTACAAAAAAATTTTGAGACCGATCACCCCAATCATCATTAAAAAATTCACAAATGTAGCTTATTATATGCCAAAATAGCTATGACAGTTTGGTAACAAGAGAAGTGATCAGTACCTTCATAAAAACTCAAATATTTAGCAATTTACGACAAAATTGCATATAAATGATAATTTAATACGTGCTAATTAATCAACCTTCTCAAACCAGCACAAAATCTCATTCACGAAAGATACTTACATAAATTAATTAATTTTTGATTGTGCGATCATGCGATTTGTCAAAGAATCGGCCATATATATTAATTCAAAACAAAAATTTAATCGCATTGGAACATGCGATACTTTACTGTGTTTAATTGTCCGAAATATATTTTTCAATTTTATAATACATTTTTTAAGAGTACACAAATTTACAAAATCTGGTTTTCATATAATTATTAAATTTCAAAATTGATAGGCATTTTACATAAGTCCACAATTTTCCACTTAAATCTATTGAGGATTATTGAATTGAAATAAGTATTAATTATATTAATGAATTCAATCGATTCGAATACTTTTTATTATCTTCTTGCGTAAGAAATGTCATTAATTAATTTCCGTAGGATTTCATATACAGTACATCTATTTTATTCGTAACTTCATGTTGAAGCTACATTTTCACTAACAATACTAAAAACTAAGATTATTTTATTTTCAGAAACAATATAATTTACAGGAACAATGTAAACAAGGCTATAGTACAGAAAATCACGACATCTTCCAGACTTTCTTCAATTCCGACGATGAAGATGACGGCCTTTATTTTACTCAGGTCAAATCGTTCAAAGAATTACTAGAGTCTAAAGAATTTTTACAGAAAATACCAACACCAGTAGCTATAAGCCCGAGTGAAATATTACTGATGGTTTTATCTCTTTGTCAAAGTCTTCATTTGTCAACCGTAGGGACGTCTAAGATACTGACTCTTATAAATTCTATATTAGAGAAACCTATTTTACGACAATCTAGATATAAATTAGATCAAATTTTCAACGATAAAAGAAACATTGAGTTTCATGCAATTTGCCCAATATGTACTGGATATTTAGGTAAAGCAGGAGATTTAGGCACTAGAACGAACTGTAAAATATGCAACAAAGATGTAAAGTTGTCCAATTCAGCATGTGAAAATTTATTTGCTATAATTGATCCATCCGTAGCCATAGCAGAAATATTAGAAGCCCATAGAGATTATTATGATTACGTTGTAAGTGAAAGACAGACCGATGGAAATACCATACAAGATGTTTATGATGGGAAAAAATATTGTGAATTTGTAAATTTATTGGCAGATAAAGACAAACACAAATACTTTATGATAACTTTTAACACTGATGGAGCTTCTCCTTTCAAATCTGCCCCTTCCCAGTTATACCTAATGTTTTGTTGTTATGTTAACATTCAAATACCTTAGGTGGTATTTGAGCACTTGTTATTTTTTGTTAGAATTTGTTACGATTTTTAGTTTAAGTTAATGATGTAATGGGTTAATTAGAAAGACAGAAAGAATGAGACACTATTTGTGGAAAAAGCCTGCAAGGCATAAAAAACCACTTTATTTTAAAATGCACTGATAATGAACGGATTGATACAAAATTGAATTATAAAAGAGATTAAAAAACGAGTGACGTCGCACAAAAAAGACTCGTACGCACGCCGGTATTCGTTAAAACAAGGAGATAAAACGCGCGCAGAGAAATTCACTAACCACGTGGCCGTACGCGAACCGAGAGCTCTTAAACGCACACACACACTTTCACACAACTAATTCTGCTATCAAAGTGACAATGATCTAGCTGATGTTCGACCCGGTGAAGCCGCACAAGTTGTATTGGCGATGAGGAGACCAATCAAGAGTTTGTTGATTTGTTGAGAAGCGTGGGCTTCTGTTGTTGTTTGACTGGTTTATAATCTGTTGTAGGTTGTTGCTATTGTTGGAATCGCTGACTATTACTTTCGTTGTTGCTAACGGACACGGCGAACAAAGACTCCGTCCGCGAGGCGCAAGTGAGAGCTGCGCACGCTGTCACTAGCTGTTCTTGACTGACTAACTGACTATTCGTTTCCGCGCGCTCTCTCGCTCGCCGGTAACAAAATCGCGGGAATCAAGCCCGTAAGGTGGCGCCGCCTAGTCGCCTTTGCGCGCGCCTACCTCCACACTCACACGTACGCACACATACATTGTGACGACGGAACATGCTCCCGGGGGAGGCTGCGGAATACAGATTTATCTAATCTTATGAAGCAGATTATGTTAATAATACAATGAACGCTTAATCTAGAAGTGACTGAACATATCACAGAACGCATTTACAAATCTTTGGTTGCTTGACAAGTTGGATTACAAGTTAACAAGTAAGAGACAATTTCCATTGGAGGGATTGCCCTGTTGATTAGGTAATGATGATATGGTTAAGACTAGGTAAACAACAAAGGAACGTATTTACAAGTATGTACATGGTAATTAGGCTAACTATGATCGATCCTAGTCTAATTAGAACCTCAACGTCCCCTAATCCAGTTCTCCAGACTGGATATCACGTCTCAAAAATCTTTGAGCTTCTGGCTGTGAAAATTTCCCGAATTTCACCATTCTCGGACCAGGCTTAAGCTGTATTCTCAGAATACAGCGGCCTCTCAGAATACGATAGGGTTCGACTCATTTATGGCAAACCCAATCGCGCACATCTGGGGCCAATCAACGATTAGAATTTGGAAGTTGTTGAGGAACTATGGGGGGACTGCTCTATCGTTCGGTCGGTAAGATACATAATCGAGTAATATTGCGCTTGTAGACTCCAGCTGTAGTTTTTACAGAAGCTACTCGAGCGATGCCGTCACTCCCAGGAAAGACCTCGAGGATTACGCCCAGTGGCCACCTTGCACAATGTGTTAGGTCATCCATCATGAGAACAACCAGTCCAGGTTTAATTTCTGAGTTTGACGTATGCCATTTTTGTTGTAATTGGATCTTATGGAGATATTCTCTATGCCACTTCATCCAGAAGTTTTGTCGGGCTTGGATCATGAAGTTGGTGGTCGACAGACGATTACTTGGAACTGAAATCAAAGATTCCTCGGATAAGACATTGAATGGGCGTCCGATTAACAGATGCGCAGGTGTAATAGCTAGTGGGTCATTGGGGTCTGCTGAAAGAGCACACAAAGGTCGCGAATTCAATATCGCTTCAATTTCGATTAAGAGTGTTTCTAGTTGTTCAAACGTAAGTTGTTTGTCTAGTATCCGCTTAAGATGATGTTTAAAACTCTTTACAGCTGCCTCCCAAAGACCTCCAAAGTGGGGCGACAAGGGAGGGTTGAAATGCCATTGTATTCTTTTCGTGATGGCATGTTCGCCCACCCTTTCGCGAAATTCAGGTTTCTCGAAAAGGTCGTAAAGTTCCTGAAGCTGTCTGTCTGCACCCGTGAAATTGGTGCCGTTATCGGAATATACATTACTTGGTATGCCTCGGCGTGAGACGAACCGACGGAAAGCAATCAAAAAACCTTCAGTAGACAAATCTGATACGAGTTCGATGTGGACGGCCTTTGAAGCTAAACAGATAAAAACACTACCGTAGACCTTTAGGAAGGACTTATTTCGATTTTTCTTTTCTTTAATGAGCATGGGCCCAAAGAAATCAACACCGGTGTGATCAAAGGCAGGAGATCCCTCTACTCTGGCCTTAGGTAAATTTCCCATCTGAGCATGAGCTGCTGGTGGTTTTTGACGAATACAGTCTACGCAACTATGAATGATTTTTCGGATTTGTCTCTTTCCGTTGATGATGAAAAATTTGGACCTAATCGCATAAAGTGTAGTTTGAATTCCGGCGTGCAAATTGGAACGATGAACTTTACGAATTAATAGATTAGTTATGTGGTGGTCCCGGGGCAATAAAATTGGATGTTTTTGATCATATGGAAGATCAGCCTCCTTCAAACGCCCCCCCACGCGAATGAGACCCTGATCATCTATGAACGGAGTTAGCTTGTCGAAGCTAGTTCCCTTGCGACATGATCCAGATGAATTTGATAACTGACGAAGTTCTAGCGAAAATCTTTCTTGTTGAAGAAGCCTGAGAATTTTAATCTCAGAAGCTGCAACCTCAAGAACTAGTAATGGACGTATCAACGCTATGATCTTTCTAATTCGGTTCGAGGGATCCGTAATTTCGGGAAACAACCAAATGCGTTTGTTTGGGTTTCTACACGTGAGTTTCCATCGCGAGACATATGCTATTATCCTGGTGAAACGATCATAGGAAGAAAAACGTGAATAGATTTCACTGAATGAAGAAACTAGAACTGGATTGGTTACTAAACAGGTTCCTTGTTTGAGTCCTGGTAAGTCTTTGGGAGAGAGATGAGCAGATGTCGGCCAATCGCGCGGTGGAAGAGCAAGCCACGGGGGACCCGAAGTCCAGAGTGAATTATTAATAAACTCGGATGGCAACTGACCTCTGGACAGAGCGTCCGCCGGGTTGTCCTCCGAACGCACGTGCCGCCATTCGACCTGGTCTCCTAACGTTTGAATGTCGGCAACTCTGTTTGACTCGAAAACTCTTAGCAGATGCGGGGCCTTTCTTAACCAGGCCAGAACAATGGTGGAATCGGACCAAAAAATAGTTTGATTGATCGGGAAGTTGAATTGGGGTTTGGCCTCTACATAAAGTTTCTTAAGAAGGGAAGCGGAACACAACTCTAACCTAGGAATGGTTACCCCTTTCAGAGGTGCAACTCGCGACTTGCTGCAAATCAACCTAATCACTACCGTATTGGTGGAATCTGAGGATCTAAGGAACATGCAGGCTCCATATCCGTAAGAGCAGGCATCACAAAATCCAAGAACTTGAACTTGAATTGGATTAGAAACTAGGAATTGCCGAGGGAACGACACTTGTCTTAATAGTGCAAGTTCGCTGGTCAGCGATTTCCATTTGAACGAGATGTCTTGTGGAAGCGACTCGTCCCAGGTAATCTTTGCCTTCCAGCAATCTTGGATCAAGACTTTGGCATACAATACGACTGGTCCTAAAAGGCCAAGAGGGTCATAAATCTTAGATGTTTCAGATAAAAGTAAGCGCTTTGTGGAGGTGGCTTGAGCGTCAACGACGTTGGTAGAATACTGAAGAAGATCTTGTTTGGAATCCCATACGAAGCCTAACATTTTTTGGATGGGATCTTCCTTGATCACGCAATCTAAATCAAAGATGGTTTTGTCGATACTATCTAAAGCAGACGAGTGATTAGAGGCCCATTTTCGAATGGCAAAACCTCCTCTACGTAACAACGCTATCATCTCGTCGCGAATCGCCAAGATCTCCTCAAGAGTTTCTCCGTCTGACACGAGATCATCAACATAAAAATCACGGAGTAATATTTTGCTAGCTCGTGGGAAGTCCTTGGCTTCATCGCGAGCGAGCTGTTGAATGGTCCGGATTGCTAAGAATGGAGCTGAAGCAGTACCAAAAGTTACGGTATTGAGTTGACAAGTCGACAGTTTTCCTCCAACACGCCATAAGAGCCTTTGGAATTTCCTATCGTCTGGATGTATGAGAATTTGACGGTACATTTTTTCTATGTCCGCCGTGATAACGTACGTATGAGTCCGGAACCTAAGCACTTGCTCAAAGATGGTGTTTTGCAAGGTGGGGCCTACCATCAGGACATCGTTGAGAGAGATTCCCGTTGAAGTTTTCGATGAAGCGTCAAAAACAACTCGAACCTTGGTGGTTTCGCTGGATTGTTTGATCACCGCATGATGAGGCAAGTAATAGCTGTCCTCGGAGTCTTCGCTTAGACTCATATGACCTAAAGTGAGATACTCGTTCATCACCTTTGAGTACTCTACCTTTAACGACGGGTCCCTTTCAAACCTTCTTTCTAGAAAATGAAAACACTTGAGCGCTTGCGATTTGGATTCGCCGAGTTTGAATTTGGAATCTCTAAAGGGAAGACGCACAATATAACGCCCGGAAGGATCGCGCTGAGTGTGATTGAGGAAATGTTGCTCGCAAGCAACATCGTCTCGTGACTTAATCGGTTCATGATCGAAGTCTTCAATAAGCCAGAAACGCTCAACGAGTTTGTCTAATTTAATTAAGTTGCACCGAGCTAAGTTTGGAGATGGTTGGTCCCTGACCCCTCCTGCTACAACCCAACCCAGGCTAGTTTTTTGCAAGATGATTTCTGATTCCTTGTGTCGGAGTTTAATTTGACCTACAGCTAATACCGACAAGGTAGTACTGGATGATAAAAGGATGTCGATGGACTTTGGTAAATGAAATTGAGGATCAGCGAGTTTTAGATTTTTTGGAATGTCAAAGAGTTTGCGAGGAAAGGTGTCGTTAGGCACAGCATCAGCAATTCTAGGTACAATCAAAAAACGAACTGGAAAATTTGAATTATTGTAATTTGAATGAACACTGGTTTGAATGAATTTGTTAACAGCCGTGGATAAGCCATCGACTGCTTCAATGTTTACTGAGCAAGGTGAATTAGGTAAGGCCAGAGAATTTGCAAAGGTTTCAGTTATCAAATTTACGGTAGAACAAGAATCCAAAAGTGCTCGTGCCACGACCAAATTACCTCGTTTATCCTTGAGCTTAACGAGAGCTGTTGTCATCAGCTGTGAATCTGCAGGAAAAGCTACCGAGGTGTAGGATTTATGGACTAGTCATGCTTGTGGAGTATTGGAACTTGAGGTATCTTTGTTACCCTTGGGTTTGGAACCTGTATCCGAATGAAGTAATGTATGGTGATTCTTCCCACAAGGCTTGTTATCAACCTGATGTTTGCAATGTTTATTGCTACTACAAGGGCGAGGATGTTTCCAAAGGCAATTGAAGCAAAGATCGTTCTGTTTTGCGAATCTCCAACGCTCTTGAACTTCAAGAGACTTGAAGGCATCGCACTTAAACAATCGATGAGTACCCTTGCATTTTGGACAGGGTAAATTGACGGACGCAGGAGCTGGTGATGTGGATGCATTAGAGGTAGTGGTGACTAAGGATTTAGCCCTTGATTTTGGGTTAGAGGTATCTATAGCAGATCCAGCCGGACGTTTTCTGGAGTTTGATGAGTAATCATTCGATTCATCAAAGGCTTCTTGTTTGAAAATTGCCTTCTGGATGAACTGGAATAAAGACTCTCGAGAAGGGAGTTGATTAACTTCTAATTTGTCATTCCAACGCCCAAAGAGGTAAGGGGGCAAGCACCTCTCAATGATCCTCACGACAATCTCGTCGCTTGGTTGTGCGTCAATTCGCTTCAAGACATTGAGATGTTGACGAGCGGTGTCATAAAGATCAGAGAGAGCCACTCCCTTGCTATTCCTATCTCCCCTAACCTTAGGAAGATCCAGAATCGCGTTTAGGTGACGATTAGCTACAATCCGTTTGTGATCGTATGAATCTAGCAAGGCTTGCCACGCATTGGCATAGTCATCCGCACATGGATCGTATTCCTGGACTTTGCTACGAGCACTACCAGTTAAAAGGGAAAAAAGTTGTCCGGCCTTGAAATCATCGCTAAGGTCGGTTCGGTTGTGAACGAGGGTAACAAAGTTGCTTTTGAATATGGCCCAATTCTTGCGCGATCCATCAAATTTCTCTATGGTAATATCCGGAAGTCTGGGTCTATCCTGCCGCTCGGTGATTGTAATGTTGCTGTTGTTCAAGGTAGAATGAGCTGAAGGTCCTTCAAATAATACCGTAGTTGAAGTTGCTACCTCGTAATAAAGGTTAGATAGCTCTTGGAATGACTCGATAAGAGCATGCGTTGGTTGGAGTTTGAAAAGCTCTTCATTGAGCTGACTATACTCATCGTAGAAGCTCTCGACTCGTTTAAGTCGTAACTTAGCGTTAGTGGGATTTGGGTTGTCTTTCAAATAATCCGCTAACACCTTCACATACCTTTCAAGGGATTGAAATTTAGTGGCGATTTGCTCCACTCGAAGCGTTTGATCGCTTGATAAATTCATAGTATCTAGCTTTATCAAATCAATAAAACAAAAAAAATCAGATGTGATTTTAATGACTAAAAACAATTAAAAAGGGAATGAATTTAAAAACGAAACGTTAATTGTGTAGAGAACATGACTATGAGAATTACGCTAATAATTTTAAAAGCGTTGTTTGAGTTCGTTGAACTCCATGCCTAAAATTATTTTGCTCGCTAAGCGCACGACATTAAAGGGGATTCAATTTCAATAAAATGACGCATCACTAATATGATTTCGTTATGCGGTCGCTGTAACGCACACAGCAATAACGCGCGTTGAAATGATGTGTTGCAAATGTGATTTCGTTATGCGGTCGCTGCAACGCACGCAGCGACAACGCGGATTCGAACAAATGTCCGAAAATTCAAATCAATAAATAAGTGGATGAAAATAGTCGTAAATTTCAAATAAATAAAAGTCTTATCTTAGTTATTCCCGCGATGCAGAGGCTCCACTGGGCGATGAGGCTTCCTTAGTTGAGAGTGACGGTTGTATGCTAATAGATGATGTCGACAAAGAACGAAGTTGAATGTTGTAGTTAAAACTGCGACAAGTCTGCGCTTGCCTTTCAACGGCGTGTTCGCGCCGAATTCTCAGAGGTCAACGAGTACTAACACACTGTGTTTATACGATGCGCGCGGTCACTTGTTTTCGCATGACGTCACTCGCGCACAAAGGAAACGATCGGTATTCAAACCTCACAGGAGGCACCATGTTTTGTTGTTATGTTAACATTCAAATACCTTAGGTGGTATTTGAGCACTTGTTATTTTTTGTTAGAATTTGTTACGATTTTTAGTTTAAGTTAATGATGTAATGGGTTAATTAGAAAGACAGAAAGAATGAGACACTATTTGTGGAAAAAGCCTGCAAGGCATAAAAAACCACTTTATTTTAAAATGCACTGATAATGAACGGATTGATACAAAATTGAATTATAAAAGAGATTAAAAAACGAGTGACGTCGCACAAAAAAGACTCGTACGCACGCCGGTATTTGTTAAAAGAAGGAGATAAAACGCGCGCAGAGAAATTCACTAACCACGTGGCCGTACGCGAACCGAGAGCTCTTAAACGCACACACACACTTTCACACAACTAATTCTGCTATCAAAGTGACGATGATCTAGCTGATGTTCGACCCGGTGAAGCCGAACAAGTTGTATTGGCGATGAGGAGACCAATCAAGAGTTTGTTGATTTGTTGAGAAGCGTAGGCTTCTGTTGTTGATTGAGAAACGTGGGTTTCTCGTTAGTTGAGAAGCGTGGGCTTCTGTTGTTGTTTGACTGGTTTATAATCTGTTGTAGGTTGTTGCTATTGTTGGAATCGCTGACTATTACTTTCGTTGTTGCTAACGGACACGGCGAACAAAGACTCCGTCCGCGAGGCGCAAGTGAGAGCTGCGCACGCTGTCACTAGCTGTTCTTGACTGACTAACTGACTATTCGTTTCCGCGCGCTCTCTCGCTCGCCGGTAACAAAATCGCGGGAATCAAGCCCGTAAGGTGGCGCCGCCTAGTCGCCTTTGCGCGCGCCTACCTCCACACTCACACGTACGCACACATACATTGTGACGACGGAACACCTAATCTATTTAATGCTGAATGAAATATCAGTTCAAGAGAGGTTCAATAATTTGATCCCATGCGGCTTATGGTTTAATAAAAAAAAAACCAAATATGATGACTTTTTTGGATCCGTTTGTTGAAATAATGAACAATAAATTAAGCCAGGGAATTATATGTACTATTAAAGGAGAACAGCGCAAAATCAAAGGCTACACATTGATCAGCTGTGTAGATACCCCTGCCAGAGCACCCATACAAGGTATTAAGCAATTCAACGGAAAATTTAGGTGCAATTGGTGTTTACATCCAGGTAAATGGAAGGGGAGTATGAGATATCCTGCATTCGGTGAAGGTATTCCCGATGATATTCCAGAGAGAACTGTTAAAAGCACAGTAGACTGTATGATCCAATCAGTTGAAGACGGTTACAAACCTATTTATGGCATCAAATATCTTTCTCCTTTTATGTATTTAGAAAAATTCGACTTGATAGACGGATTCGTGATTGATTACTTCTATAATTGCTTAGAAGGAGTAGGCAAACAAGTAACAAATCTTCTATTAAAAAATCAAGATTATGATATTTTTTAACCACTGTTACAACAAATAAAATGCCCACATCAAATTTCGCGTTTAACAAGACCATTAGATGATTCTAAATTCTGGAAAGCTATTGAATGGGAAAATTGGATCTTGTACATTAGTACACCATTGTTTTCGTTGATCTTATCGCCAACATTAATTGAGTATTGGACATTATTTGTTGAAAGTCTGTACATACTGCTGCAGCCAAAAATTAATCTTGAGGAAATAGATAAAGCAGATAAAATGCTCTTCGAGTTTGTATTCAAAACCCAAGAATATTTTGGAATTACTGCGATGACGTTTAATATTCATGCTCTCATCTACCTTGCAAAAAGCGTTTTGAATTGGGGTCCACTCTGGGCTCATTCTACTTTTGCGTTTGAAACTGGAAATTGTCACTTATGCAAGCAATACACTGTGCTCGAGGAGTTAACTTACAAATTTTAAGATATATTAGTGTTAACCGAAGCGCATCAATCCTAAAAATGCATGTATATCCTAACATTTCAGAAACTGTTAAAATGTATATAAACAATACTCTCAAGTGTAAAGTTAAAAACGCAATCAAGATTAGTACAATAAGTTACTTTGGTAAAGCTTTTGAAATTAAAAGAGAAATGGCCCATGCATTTAATTTACCGCATACAAGTAAAATTTTTAAAAGAATGCTTAAAGATAATTGTCTATGTGCATCGTGTTTAAAAGTTAATCAACGCACAGACAACTCCTTTGCTCAGTTGAACGATGGACGTTTTATAAAAATTGATAAATTCATTGTTGATTTTGATAATAGACAGGAGTACACCACTTGCAACGTTGTTTGTACCATTCCTAATAAGTTGAGCAAAAATTATCAAGTGCTTCGTAAAATTACAGAGATTGAAGAAATCTTGACGTTTATACCCTGTTGAAAAAATCCAGCTGGAAATCCAAGATGGATATCCACATGGATATCCCGCTGGATATCCATGTGGATTGATGTGGATTCCATATGGATTTGATATGGATATCCATGATGGATATCCATGTAGATTCCAGGTGGATTTTAACCAAAATCCAGGTGGTTTTTTCGGTCGATCCATATGGATTTCATCATAAATCCAGATGGATTTTAACATAATTTCAGGTGGATTTCAGAATAAACCCAGGTGGATTTTCTGATCAATCCATGTGGATTTCAGCATAAATCCAGGTGGATTAATAGAAAACCAAGGTGGATTCGTCAACGAATCCAGATGGATTTTCCGGTCAATCCATGTGGATTTCAGCATAAATCCAGGTTAATTTTGCAGTCGATTCATGTGGATTTTAACATAATTCCAGGTGGATTTCAGAATAAATCCAGGTGGATTTTTAATAAACCCAGGTGGATTCCTTGGCAAATCCAAGTGGATTTCTCGGAAAATCCATCATTTTCATAGGTTTTAGCTGAAATCCAGGTGTGTTTGTCAATACAGATATTTGAGTTGATACAAATAGACGCGCTGATTCAGCGGATAGAGCGCAAGTCGTGCAAAATACCTGGATATGATTTTCGGCGGTAGCAATGACTTTTGTTTAATTTATCTGCCAAAATGAACACCGCGGTTTTGCAGTCGTTTGGGTCCTGTAATCGTGAACTGACAGACCCGGTTATCTGTACGGGATTGCTGTGAAGTAGAAGCATTACATAGAAAGCAATGGCTAGGAAAAGAAACTCTGAAACACTAAGCCGTTGGATGAGGTGTCCTAAAAGCCGGGAGATATGGGGAGTAAAAAGACCAAATACGAAAATGTGAACTTTAATATATTAAGTTATAATTTTTGTTTTATAAAAATTTTCTATTTTTAAGCCTCACTGGGCACCTTAATGTTGATTACAATCAATTTTCCTTAGAAGATTTCATGGCATTTCTAATTTTCTTTCGGCAGAAATTGATATCCTCCGATATAAAACTATTTTTCTTTGCTAGCACTTTCTTAATACCTTCTTTATTCAATTTTAATGTTTTTTGACAATAGTAGATCAAGCATTCTGCAACAAAAAATCAAATTTGTATCAAATAAAATAATAAACAAATCGGGGAAAGCAAACAGAGCAATTAAGGAGGTTCAGGAGTCATATGAAAATGCACAGATGGCAATAATAATGAAAACAACTAGTCTATTGAAATATTGAGAATGTCCTTGAATTTTTTCAATATTTTTTAACAGCGAAAATCTGAAGAAATTCGAGCCAGAAGTTCGCCTTGTATACACGGGCTCTTATTATGTTAACGACTCTGATCGCGAAGTTTGAGATTAGATCTCTATTGAAAAACTTAAGTAATCAAATGAAATGTTCACAAAAACTCGAGTTTGTAATGTTTTCAATAAAGTAAATGAGAGCACATTTATTAGAAATTGAATAAGTTATTTTTATGAACCTTGTAACAAGTTGCATTAATTAATTAATTAAACAATCGTTATTCTCGCGAGCGATAGAGAGAGATGGAAAACCCTAGTAAGATATACATGTCGGATCCATGAGTAGGAGGAGAGCAATTAGACAGTCGACATTGAGATCACACCGAGACGGCATGTAAAATAAAAGCCCGAATTCTAATCTCGAACAAAAGAAGAACAACTCCCGGTGCAAGGAAAAGTGTTTCGCCAAAGAGGACAACGTCCCTGTCGGAAAAAATTTATGTAAATAATCATAAATAACTGAAATCAATTATTGATAACAGTTATTTGCAATTTGTAACAGTTTATAAACGTCAGATTTTGGACACATATAATAGTTATGAACAGGTTTTTTTTGTTAAAAAGTGTTATTATCAGTAATTAACAGTTATTACAGTTATAACACTGCAGATCGGGGCGGGGGTTAGTCTCGCAAAGGCAGATTAAATCGTCAGTCGACATAACAAGAAAATATTCTTTAACCGGCAGTGCGAATAAAATAAATAATTATTCCCTCCCGTTATAAACTATAAATACAAACGAATAATAAAACAAATATAAGAGATGAGCGTGCTAAGCGCGCGTGAAATTACACTAGTTAAATAATGTGATAAATAAATATACATACTACTGATTGTCTTATGCTCCATTTCAGTAAGAGGCACTCTTCGATTTCCTCCATTGGGCGATGGTGCAGTTTTGTCCGCAATGACACATCGTGTACTTAATTGTACCTCATAAGAGTCATGATCATCAGTATGCATCGCTCTTAAAATAGCTTTGGTAAATTTACTACCATCTTTCAATGACAGATACTTTTTCCAGTCCTCGTATTCCATATGAAAACTTTTATTCAACCATATGATTGTTCTCTAAATAATTAAAATATACTTTAATAATATTTTATAATATAAAACGAGACATTACAAATGACACCTTTGATATTTTGAATCCTTATAGAAAATCGAATTCTGTTTACATTTTTCAAAGGACGACCGATTGTCGTTTCAAAATGTCAATTACTAATTAATTAATTGTCAGCTTTTTTAATTAGTTTTTCTAATAATAAACTGTATTTAACTGTATATTCGTGGCAACTCACAATTTTAGGTGGATGCTTGTGAATATTGAAAACAAGTTATATGGTTTCTCAAAATTTTACATTTGACCTCAAAATTGAAAAAAGACAACGCATAAAACTTATCACTGCGATAGAAACAAAGAAAGAATTCACTGTTTTGACTAGCATTGTACCGATAGAACTTCCATAACTTTTCCAATTAAAATATACACAGTATTAACTATAAATGTGCAGAGAATATTTGGGAAGACAACATCTGAATATTATAGGCAAAAATATTAATAGTGTCCTTTGTAAGAAAAACAAAATAAGTCTACTGACCGTAATACCATCATTGTTCGTGATAGTTTCCCTGTGACCAAAATTTCCAAAATCTGAAACATCTGAAGACTTATTTACATTTTCATATTCGTCTTCTATACTTGAGTTCGATGCAGAATTCCTGTTGATTTCTTGAGACGGATTTTCAAGTGTCTTTAATTTTTTTGCATTGTGAGTATTTGGTGCAGACTTCTTTCCCAAAAAATTACGTGATAACGTTGAAAACTCTTTTAGGGACAGTTTAACATTATTATTTTTTGAAACCGACGATCTTGATTCCATTATTCCAGAATCGCTAGTATTGGTTTCACATTCAAAAGATTTTTCTGATTTCTTTTTTTTTTTGTAGCAATGATGGACTCCAGTTTTGTTCAAAATCTAATTTTCCTTAAAAAGTCATAAAAATATATTTATTAAGCATATATTATTTATTTAATCAATATATATATATATACACATGCCGGGGTTCAGAAGGACTGCAGTATCTGGAAATGAGTCATTTTCCATTATCACGAGACATTATAGCGAGTATCGCTGGTGTCGGCGGGTAAGGCTTACTTCTGCAGTTATTTTAGCAGTTTTTATTTTTTTCAACGGTTATTCGATCTAACTGCTAAAATAACTGATTAAAAAATGCTTACGGAACTACCATGCTACTTGCTGTGGCCGAGTAATGGAGAGCGCAGCAAAAAACCCTTTTTTATGACCAGTTTCAGGGAACTACAATTCTTCTGAATAACCCTGTATATAAGTTTCTAACTTTTTGTTTTCGAGTCTGGGGTTTTCTGCACATCAATATCCTGGAACATATCCTGTTCCATCCAATCATTATCGGTTTCAGGTTGTGAATGATCTTCTAGTTCCTTATCAATATTTGGCGAGATTTCAGGTAAAGGTAATTCGCGAGATCTTACAAAGTCATCATCGCTCATACTTCCAGATCTATAATCTGAATAGAATGATTTTTTAGGAGTCGATGCTTTACCAATTGCAGCATTATGTTCCTTAAAAAAAGTTAATATACACATTTATATACTAAAACATATTAACAGGTCCTTTAAAGTATAATTTTGCAAAATTTTTAAAACATTTTTTAAGGGATTTTTAGGGACACAAATAAACATTCGGTTTTGAATAATTGAAATTGGATGTATAAAGCGTCAAAAGTGGGCTTTTTCCGAGAACTTTAACGTAGTTTTTTCAGATTTTTATTATAATAAAAAACCGCGCAAATATTCCATTTGTTATTAATGTCAAAATCTTGACTTTTTTTTTTAATTCCAAAGGTCGGTTAAAATTGAAAAATAATTTTTTTTACTATGGAATATTATAGTTTTTATATTATAGATTATGCAAAAAAATCACGGCAGTTGAGAAAAATTTGTGAAAAATTTTGTGATGATTGCAAACAGTGTATCTCGTTCGCAGAATCTTAATAAACAATTGCAATAATAATTAATACAATTAGTTGTTACAATAAACAATTGTAACAACTAATGGAGATATCGGAACCAGGTTTACGGCAATAGATTTGCAAAGAATTGAAGTTTCCAAAGAATTATTCGCAAAAAACATTCATTAACCTTATCAATTGCAATCGCTCGTGCAAAAATAGCATTTTTTTAACTACTTTTTTTTTATTCATTCGACTTTTGCACCTATGGAAAATTGAATTTTGCGATTCTAAATAATTGAGCTGGATAGAAAATTTTACGCTCTACAACTTTATACCTGTGCATTTTTCCGTCATAAATTTGTTATTTCACGAGTAAAATCGCATAGACCGATGAAAAAATGGCTCATTTTCGCTCAATTTTGCTATAGACATTTATAGAACAAAATGCAATAAGAAAGTTGAGACGCTGAATTTTTTGGTCATTCAGCATGATATTTTGAACAGTTTAAAACAATCAGGAATGCTCTACCTCTTACATCCACCTCGAATTATAATTCGCCTTTTCTATTCATTATAAGCTTATCAGCCACATTGTAAAGTGAAAGAACAAATTGATTAAAGTTAATGTCACCTATTAAGAAATGCTGCCCTCACAGAGCTAATAAAAAAGTGTCTTTTTTTTTAATATCGTCCATCCTCAAGCATAGTTTCTACAGGCATATAAAACTCTCCCAACATATATTTTTATAATATTTTTTTTATAGGTAAATAATACTGAGAGTAAAAAAACAGAAGTACGTAAAGCTTTTGTCTGATTTTAAATTAATGTTGAAGAGTGTCACATGCCTGTAGAAACTGTCCTTGTGGCTGTATGAGATTATAAAAAGAAATTTTTCATATTAACTGTGTAAATATAGCATTTCTTAATAGGTTACATTAACTTTAATAAATTTATTGCTGTAGTTTACAATATGCCTGATAAACTTATAATACAAGTGAATAGCTAACTACCAAATCAGCTTACCCCAGTCTTGTTCGATACTTTTCTGACTTACAGTGAGATTATTCATAAAATCAGTAAGTAGCTATTCTTTTCTTCGCATACAAACTTACTGTAAGTGAGAAAAGTATCAAACAAGATTGTGGTAAACTGATTTGGTACTCAGCATACTTACTTTCATTATAAGCTTATCAGCCACATTGTAAAGTGAAAGAACAAATTGATTAAAGTTAATGTTACCTATTAAGAAATGCAGCCCTTACACAATTAATTTTTGTTTCAATTTACAATATTAATGATAAACTTATAATTTAAGTGAATAGCTGATTATCAAATCAGTTTTCCTCAATCTTTTTGGATACATTTCTCACTTACTGGAAGATTGTTCATAAAAAGAATAACTATGAAGAATAAACCGATGAAAAATTTTATTGTCATAACATCCTTACCTCCACTGCTGCTGTTGATCTTTGATGAATGTTCTCGTTTTTAGTTAATTCTTTTATTTGTAAATCATAATGCAAATTCTGGATTTGCAATCGTTCATTTATTATTCTGTATGTTTCTAAGCGCTCATTCAGAAGATCTATTGTATTCTGAAGTTTTGTCTGGTTTTGTTTTAAGTGTGAACATTCTTCTTCCAATTTTTCAAATTTTTTCCGTAATAGATTGTCATTTAATACCTTTCCATGCCGCATTCCAATTGAAACCTCTTCTATATTGTCAATTTCACTATGTTTTTCTTTATTTGAATCATCAGAATCTTTCTCATTATCGTAGTGTAATGTTTTTGTGTTTACAAACTTTGCTAGCTTACTTTGTAGAATCTGCTTTTCTATTTCATTATCACAAATCTAGAAAAGTAATTGATTATATATTATTGTACATATTAGGAATAGATAACAAGCTGTAAATAATTTAATCACATACACAAACGTAGATTGGTTGAAATGTATAATAATTATTAGTTAATTGAACTAACCATTTTTTGTTTACTTCTTTCTTTGTTCTTATCCTCTTTTCCTGTGACTTCTTTTGTTTTCTTTAATTTTGGTGGAGTATTCTTGCAACTGTCACTTTCTGAATCACTGTCATAGTATCTGTTTAATACTGATTGGTTGAGTATGCTAAAAACTCCTCTTTTGTTTTTGAACTCAGTTAATTCATCTTCACTTCTTATCACTAAAAATGAAATAACATAACGCTAAATGATTTTGTATTGATTAAACACCAATAAATTTCCATTTATCTCTACATTACAGTTTTAATTTATTGTATTAAAAACCAATAAATTCCCATTTATTTCTAGATTCAGTTTTAATTTTGTTTGTATTATATTTCACTATATTAAAAAAATTATAATAACTCACTTTTTATATCAGCTATTTGGATGCCAACTTCAATCTCTTTTACCATTTTTTCATCTTTCCATAAAATTGAGTATACTGCATCCTTATCAAAATTTTTTATTGCATGAGGGTTAGATTGAAATTCCAAAATTTCGTTTACGGGCTTTACGTCTCGTAAATGATCATCTATATATTTGACCTTAGCATAATATTGAGGCTTCATGTCTGAAAAATATTACTGCTAATGCAGAATAGTGCAATTTACAATGATACTTATATACTGACTACTGATTACTGATAAAAAAAGAATTCGCAATACACTACACTGTAGAACGAAAATGACGAAAGACAAAAGCCTCCTTTTGCTTTTCTTGGAAAAGTGGATTATATATAATAGACTATATATATGGTAGATAATACTAGTAGCCAAATTGTCCGCCAGGGGGGACCTCGTGCACTAAGAATCGTGGGCTGTGAATTTGTACTGAGAATAAGACCAACGAATAGCGTCTATATAGTATATAGCCACGGATTAAAGGTTCATTTTTATATCGAATGTTTATGTCTAGCCTCCAAGTGTAACTCTGTCCGTAAATCTATTTTTCTTTGTATAAATAATAATTAGAAAAATTTATCGGTATCAATTGATTAAAATCCTTGAACGAGTATTGTAAACATGGATACAGATAGTAATGGAAGCATGGATATCTCACTCTGTAAAAGTCATGAGAGTGTTGTGGCTGATTATGCACTTACATCAGATTCAACAAACGATATGCATAATTGTTATAGTTCAGAAAATGATACCGACAGTATCATGAGGAGATTGAGACAATCTAACAGTGACACATCAGACCGTTTATCATTTCAAAATGTGTCAGATACATCACCTGTAATCGGAATCAGAAATTCTATTCAAAATGAACAATCAGATCTTAATGTGGATGTTCAATCAAATTCAGGTAGTACTACAATCAAGTTTTCATAGATTGAAAGTTCAATAAGAATTTTTTATAATCTACCTGTCAATGTGTAGTTTCACAAAAAGAAAATCAAAAAAATAAATGTTATCTTAGCTAAATATTTATCAATTCACAGAGATATATTTTAACTATGTAAAATAATTGTGATCTATTAATTTTTGTTAAAGATTGTACAGATTATCATTAAGAATATTTATTTTGTTTAGAATGCAGTAATAGATCTCATGCATATTCACATGTCAACAATCACTACCTTATAAATGAAGATGAAAGTATTCCACAAAATGTCGTAAGTTTGCAATTGATTATATACTTTTCTTATGTTTTTTATCCCTTTTCACATTAGTAATAATATTTGATCGAATAGAGACAGTGTTTGAACTTATTTTTCTTGTTTCATATCAAATCTTTTCTTGTTTCATATAAAAAATAATGCTATTGATTCAAACACTAAATCAGACCTTACGTGTTATATAATATATATAATATTGTTGTAGTAGTCATTTTGTAGCTTATTGTACTAATACAAAGAAAAGAATTATATAAAAAATGAGTTCCCTTGGTTAAGTATTAGTTTTATATTCACAAGTTTAAAGGCTTGAATCACAATGCCTTTCCAAAATAAAATCATGTAAATAACTTTTTAATTATTTCTACCTTTTATTATTATTGTAATAATAACTTTTTTTATTGGATACTATCCTTTCTATATTATAAATATATGGGTAATTCTAGGCTATTTCGATTGACTTGTAACCCTTAGGTTACGGATTTTTTTTTAATTTGGCACAATTGTTGTACACCTAAAACTGAGATTTTTCCCAAATTTTGGAGACGATACATTAATTATATCAAAAGTTATTAACAATTAAAGAAAAATGATAAAAAATTTTCAAACAGCTATATTTTAAAAACTAATAAAGATATCGAAGTCGAATTTTTTTCAAAATACTTATAATGCCTTAAAATTTCGAAATAATTACAACAATAAACAATAAAAATTTTTTTTCGAAAGTTATTAACTTTTTGTTTAAACAATTGCTAATATCTCAAAAAGTATATTTTTTTTTGAAAAATTCTTGCTCCTACGTATTCCTGAGGATTTTTGCTATCGAAATCAATCATAAAATTCAAGGGCCCGACATATCGGAAAGCGTAGCCTGAATCAAAAGAAGACGCCTCAGCGTAAGGCTGCGGTAGCGCTCCAGCGGACTCACGGTCGAAAGGTACTTTAGCTTTAATCTAAAAAACTAATAAAGATACCGAATCGGAGTTTTTCCAAATTACTTATAATACCTTGAACTTTCGAAATAATTACAACAATAAACAATAAAAATTTTTTTTCGAAAGTTATTAACTTTTTGTTTAAACAATTGCTAATATCTCAAAAAGTATATTTTTTTTTTGAAAAATTCTTGCTCCTACGTATTCCTGAGGATTTTTGCTATCGAAATCAATCATAAAATTCAAGGGCCCGACATATCGGAAAGCGTAGCCCTAATCAAAAGAAGATGCCTCGGTGTACGTCGCAACGACAGCAGGACGTCTTCGTGGTCTTACGCTGAGGCGTCTTCTTTTGATTAGGGCTACGCTTTCCGATATGTCGGGCCCTTGAATTTTATGATTGATTTCGATAGCAAAAATCCTCAGGAATACGTAGGAGCAAGAATTTTTCAAAAAAAAAATATACTTTTTGAGATATTAGCAATTGTTTAAACAAAAAGTTAATAACTTTCGAAAAAAAATTTTTATTTTTTATTGTTGTAACTATTTCGAAATTTTAAGGCATTATAAGTATTTTGAAAAAAATCCGACTTCGATATCTTTATTAGTTTTTAAAATATAGCTGTTTGAAAATTTTTTATTATTTTTCTTTAATTGTTAATAACTTTTGATATAATTAATGTATCGTCTCCAAAATTTGGGAAAAATCTCAGTTTTATGTGTACAACAATTGTGCCAAATTAAAAAAAAATCCGTAATCTAAGGGTTACAAGTCAATCGAAATAGCCTAGAATTACCCATATATACCTTATACCTTATACCTTCTTTGTGTCAATACCCTTTAATATTTCTTCAATATTTTTGAGTACAATCATCAATATAAGTATAAATAGTTATGAATAAATATATAAGTATGAAATTTTTGCCACACATATAAAATATTAATTGTTGATATACTTCATTGCCATTGCTAATTGCTAAATTAGATTTTCGTAAGTGATATTTTTTATGTGTAAAAAAACCTTTTTTTTCGCCTTTGAATTATCTACCAAAAAAGTCTTAATTTATGCCAGAAAAAATATTTTTCATTCTACTTATTGCTGTGCAGACGAACCTCGATAATGCAAACAGCAACCCGGCTAAAAATGTGATATTTCTAAAAATAAAAACTGCTAGTAAAGTTTTTATTTTGTTTCTCGACCTCCAGGACAATTTTCCAAAAAAGGGCTCTTTAGAGCTCTTTATTTCTGCCCAATGGATGCCCCAAAAATGTTTCAAGTTGATTAATTCATTTGTTTAAGATAAAAGCTGAAAAAACCCTTTGGTCAGTCAGTAACCCGCAACAGAAGCTTAACGACGACCATATTTGAACTCGAGATTTCGCATTTTATAAATTACTCAAATTGCACCGCCTGCTATTGCAAATGCTACAATGCACGAAAAAAAATTCGGGAGGGCTCATTGTTTTCGTTGAAATCTGTACTTTCGAATGATAATCAGATTTTTAATAAACTTATTTTTTAATTATGTAAAACCTCTTTTTCAAAAAAATATTTTTTTCAATATTTTGACAAATTCATTTAAGGCTATGAAAAAATTTTTTTTAAACAAAACCGATTTTCATCAGTCAAAGAGTCGCATGCGGCGTAATTTGAGTAATTTATAAAAAATGTGAAATCTCGAGTTGAAGTGTCCTCTTCGTCAATATTTTTTGGTGGCACGCTGCCACTTTTTTGTTGTTTGTTTCCCAAAGAACAAGAAAAATCTTGTCCGGCAACGCGATGTTAAAAGAAAATTTTTTTTTCGGAACACGAAAAGTGATTATTTTATTTTAGATTCCAGCAGTTTTTTTAAAATGTCAAAATAAGCCTTTTGGCTATCTCAGATTTTCGTTAAAATATAACTATGCCCATATATATTTTTTCAAAGTCAGAAAATTTACCTTTTTTTTAGCTATTTTTGAAAAATTTTGTTCAAAGTTGGTGCTTTTTTTGAAAAATCGGAATTTCAAATTTTCGAAGCCATTTTTCTTCGAAAAAAAAATATCCACATCGTGAAAATTGGAGGGTATATTCTACACGATTTGACCTAATAAATAACGTGTTAAAGAAAAAGAAAAAAGTAAAGCGTTTTTTGTTTCGACTGTGACGGAAGCTAATTTTTTCGATTTTTAAAATATAAGTATTTTTAAGTTCATTTTGGAATCGAATGAGAACCTTCTTCCTTACTCGCAAAAAAATAGGTTGAGAGTCTTTTTTTTCTTCGTTTTCGAAGGGTTTTCTAAAAGCTAACGAGGGCCAAGATAAGAAAAATAGTTACAAACTCCATGTAAAAAAGACTCTCCTATATTTAACCCAGGCTCGGCCGAAAGCGCTGCATCTGGCCCGCGCAAACAGCGCCCCAGTTAAGATGAAGGAAGCCGAAAGTCGTAAAGAAAGCCGAAAGTCGTTTTCCAGGCGCGATTTTCGCGAGCGATTATGCGTGCGCGTATTTGTACTTTTGGGCGAGAGAGAGCTCTCCCAATTGAAAAAATCCAGCTGGAAATCCAGCTGGATATCCATATGGAATCCAGATGGATTTCTCAGAAAATCCAGATGGATTTTATTTGTGTTTTTGATTATAAATATATAAAAAAATGTCTCCTGTTAAATTATTGTTTTAAATATCTCCTACTCCGACAAATATCAATATTAAAAAAAGAGGAACGTGTCACGGAACACGCGTTAAGAACGAAGTTCCCTTCAGAAGCAGGGTTGGCTATATTAATTAATTAAGGTGTGTGGGACCATTTGTTCGGCTCATCTTTCTCTCTGTTGATTATTGGAAACAATAAATAATTATATTCATAAATTTTTTTTATGTATATATATATTTTTTTTCTGATCAAAATATATTGCAATTTACTAAACTGGAAAAAAACATACATTCGCTATAAACGGCTTGTTCAGATTTACTGCGCCGGCTGATCGAGTGTGGCACATATTTTCAATGTCTCAGATGTGACTAAGCAGGAGAGCAAAAGAAACATAGTATAGAGAAAGAGACAGAGTATAGTCCTGTGTACTGCGGTATATAGTTTGTATGCAAGCGAACGAAAGAGACAGAGA